ATTTAACGACGGGGTTTGTCCACCCACGTCCATTCGCGTTCTTCCTTCTTCGCACCCCATTCGCCGTGGGAGTTTGGCTCGAGCTAACGCGGAAAGTTCGCGTGGATTTCTGAAATTCTAATTCGCTCCTCTAATCTGCGCTATCCTTCTTTTCACCGACGTCCGCCTACGAGGCACGCCTAGCTTCAGGAAGCGCTCCGCTCGTCTCTATCTTCTCACAGAGAAGCGAAAGAGAGGCGGCAGATAATTACGTACATAAGAGTGATCAGTGATTCAAAGAGAGGCGATAATTGAAAAAGGAAAGAAACTCGCGACGGGAGAAACGTTCGGATGTTCTCTGAGATTTGCAATGAGGAACGTTGCGCAACTTCTTGTCAGCGTTTCGGGGATGAAACTACGTTTCCGTGTCTCGTGAAACTGGTGAGGTAACGACACGCATTTCAGGGGAAGAAGGGGGTTTTAGAGGTTGCTCGTGAAACTCACGTAAGTATAACGAACACTAACTATTGCGGCGCGTAATACACTTACATGATTACGACGGATAATAATATTGCGCCTAATATATACTGCAACACAGCGCGCGTTGTAACACGATAGCGTAACAATACCGCGCGAATACTGACGCATTAGCCTAATCTATAAGACGGTGCGCCTCACGCACTAGTGTCTGGAACTTGTGTGCGTTAATATATCACAGTCGTGTCCGCAAGAACATACGCGTGTAGTCCATCACGTGTACACGTACCTTATGTAATCTGCAACATCCTTTACATAAGGAGAAGCCCTGTGGCGATTACAACGTACCTCGTATAGTTCTAGTAAATTTGATATTCGTTTCTTTGACGATTTAAAAACGTGATATTTTACAGTTATATTTATATGCAATATATTTTATATATAATAAAAATTATTAAAATTAGAAAATTGTTATTTTTCATAACTCATTGTTTAGTACATAAAATCAAAATGATATTTTTATGTAAATTTTTATAAGTTAAAAATAAATATAAAATATTTATATTTATTTTATAAAAATAATTTGACAGTTTAAATATTATGAATCAAAACAAACTCGCTCAACTTGTAATTCATTGCAATTCAATTGTTGCAATAAAAATTGTAAATGATAAACTTTGTATTCGAGTTAAATGCTATTAAAAATAGAGCCTTTTGTTGAAATATTGAAAGATATATCTTGCGTATATTTAATTTATTATAAGTATTATAACACATCAGTATGAAACTTAATATTTTACAGAATTATATTTACGCGCAATATTGCATATATAATATAAATTGTTTAAATTTTAAAATTATTTTACATCATTTAGCTACTAAATAATGAGTAAGATAACAACTTTAAAATTTAAATAATTTTTGTTATACATGTAATATACCATGTGTAAATATAAACAAATTCGATCAACTTGTAGTACATTACAACTCGAATACAAGACTGCCGCAAGAGAATAGCTGTGTAAATGATACTATTGTTAAATTTCACGTATTTCCGAAAATACATAAAAAAAGAACAACAAGAATCTTAAAGTGTTTCTCATTTCTCGAGAAGATTAAAGAGACTGATGGAATACTCTGTGGAAAATAACAAAAGTTACACGGCATGTCGGGATTCACTCAACATCAGCGGCCGCATTCATGCAAACTTAAACGTCGAAGAGCTCAGATACGTATTCTTCCCGGCGTCTCTCGGCACCGCAATATGCGGACAAGAGAAAGAGATAAAGCGAAAGAGACATTGCTCGGACATTGCATCGCTGGCATAGGACGTTGCTGGTTATCGCGGAAAAGCTCAGGAAAATCGGAGAGAGAAAGAAAAAAATAGACAAAGAAAGAGAGAGTGAAGAGGGGGAGGGCAAAGCGTTGAAGAAAGAGGAAGAGGGGGAGAGAGAGAGAGAGAGAGAGAGAGAGAGAGAGAGAGAGAGAGAGAGAGAGAGAGAGAGAGAGAGAGATGCAATCTAGAAACTCTCGGGAACCAATCTTCTCTGATGAAAATACCTTGTCCTCTGTGAGGTTTGATACCGCACCCGTGGGGGCCAATTTCGTTTGTTACTTTTTGGAATACCGCGAGTACGTTTGAATTGGACGGAGTCCTTCGGTCCTTGCGAGGCAGATTCCAGGGGAACGTTTTGAGAATACGTGCGGGCGAGTGTAGTCGGCAAAGGGGTAAGGAGATGGAAAATGCATTGTCCTCTGGAAAATGCGTGTCACTTTTGCGATCAATTCTCTCGGCGAAAAATATTGGTGCAGCTTAATTAGAGCTTAAAACCACGTGCGAGGACAATTGCACAAAGGAAAAGCGCCCGGGATATTAAACTTCCACGAGAGAGATATAAAGCGTGTATAAAAGCTTATCGTACTTTTTAATTGACACGATGTCATTTGTATGGAATGTTGATGTAATTGTCTCCGAGAGACAATTACAAATAACATATATGAAGTTGAAATTTTGAAAGTCGTAGTAAATTGTAAGTTTTCGTAACGTAGAAAAATTCTCGCGATAGAAAAATGGATCTCAATTTCGTGAAAGAATATGTCAATAAAACCATCATCCGTTTACTCTAGGATAACCTGTATTTGCGGGTCTTATATGGATATTCGACGTGGGTGTTCTGAGTCGAACATTTCAAAAACACTACGCACGCTCGGCTATTACTAGAAAGGGTTAGATCACCTGAGGGATCAGCAGGGGAATTTCATGTTGGTCGTCGGGTCTTCTGGGAATCTGCACTGCGACACTTACATTCTCACTATTCTTATCCCTTTCTATGTCGTTTCGAATCTCTCTCTCTCTCTTTCTTTCTCTTGTACCCTCTCACCCTGTCACTATTCCGGTTCAGTCGATAGCAGCGGCGAAGAGAGGCGCCAAAGATGGATTCTGATATCGGAAGGATCGGGAGTAGGATTTCTCAGGTTATATTCTTGCCGCGAGCTATACGGGATATCCCGAGATTCGAACGTACTTTGCTATAAGCGACTGCTCCGAGTGAGGTTTCCATGAAAGTTACACCTTCGTATGATGTGGACTTTATGATCAACCCGCACGACGTTGTACTCGCGTACATCCGAGTAAAGAAAACGCACCGTGGTACCCGGATATTACTCCAAGTTGCAAGAGAAAGGAAGCGGAAGCAGAATCAACCGCTTATACGTAATATAATGGAGAACAGGAATTTTTGCGGATGTCGTTCACGCGATTAGGGCTTGTTAGCTCATCGTGCTCGTTGCGGAATACACACAGAATCTTACATGCCATTTGAGAGAAGCCCTGAGAACGTCTTTAGGACATAGAATGTCTTAAGTCTTCTTTTCTTAAACTCGTATCAGCTTACGGATTGATGATTACGATTGACGATTGCTCTATTTCAGCTAATCACGATGACTTGCTGCATCGTGATTGACTGAAATAGGACCTGACAACTATTAATCGTCAATCCGAAATCTGATATAGGCATTAGAAGTTTGTGCTGTATGGGATGTCATACTGATAATAGGTCTATTCTTTATTTCTGCTAGAATGCATTAAGACTCTTTCTCGCTTTCGCCAAATATTAAACGTATCCTACTTTAAGTTCCAAAAGTGTACACTAGTTTAGCTATAAAAAACTAATCTAATATTTTTATAATGTAAGAATCTGAATTTGTCACGTCCAAGTTCTGTTTGAAACAATGCACTCGGGAATGGATCGGGAAAGCTTGGATCATGCGATTCACATGGCGGAAAAACCGCAGGCGCGTAAAAGAAAATCGCAACCACGATTGGCTCATGCATTTTTCAGCGGTCGCTTCAGTATTTGCTTGATCGGACGTTTGTACGTCCCTTTGACATCGGAGCGTACCTTTCGCCAGGTTCTGCGAAAGGCAGTACGCGGTGATAAAATGGTCGTATGCGAGGGAGTGTGTGCTCGAATAAGTAGCGCGAATAGAAAGTAACGCGTACTTCGGTTCAGTCGCAAGTTCGCGACTGAAGTAAGAGATCGATCGGAACCGTGCCCTCGCGAAATAGCGACCTATAGTATACCTATACCCTTCATGTTCGATCTGATCGCCACGAATCGTTTCTTCGCGGCGGCGCGGCGTGACGTGCGTGCCGAGCTTGATCGATTTCCCAAGCGAAATGTAACCACTATTTCTCTCCTTCCTCGGTTCTCATTTTCCATCCAACGTCCAGGAGAGCGTAATATGCGCCTAAGACTTCCCTTTAAAGCCGTAGTAAATTAGTTCGCTGCGTGATCTTCCTTTGATTGAATGGAAAAGGAGAGCGACAGTCTGCTTTTGTGTAAATGTCGTTGCTATTACTGTTGCTATATTATTTATTATGATTGATATGAGATGATATTTAATCTTCGTAATGTTGATTTTATTTTAAAAGTTTATTCCTGTTAACTTATGCGAAAGTTTAAAACAAATATATATGTTTAAAAAAACTTTCAATTAAATAAATCTAGTTTTATATTGCATATATTTAAACTCGAAAGTTTGATGAAACCACGGAATTTAAAAATATTGAAAGCCGTATAGAACTTTCACAATTTAAAGATAAAAATTGAAATTAAACTTATATGAAATCAATTGATTAAAGTAGAGTTCGTAAAAAATTATGAATTCAATTTACTCTTTGTCTAATTGTTTTAAATTTAATAACTATTTATATTTTTATTATACTCTCTAAATCTAAATCAGTAAATAGTCACTAATTACTCAGTAAAATATTGATATTTGCACGTTAATTTTCCAATATCATATTGAATTTAAGCACTAAACAAGGTTAGTTATATCACATAATAAAGATTAGCTAGGTAAATTTCATATTTAATTCACTGATTATCAGTGGAATACTTGGCATACTATCAGTGATTATTCAGATTTAGACAGTATGGAATATATATAAAAAAATAATACACATAAAATAATACCTATAATAATACATATAAAAAGCAATTATAGGTTCAGAATATATATTGCATTAAATTCTTACTCACCGATCACGGTCAAATTATACCGGAAGCTGCGCGTCTGGCCCTTCCGGAAATCCACTCTACATCTGTACGTCGCCGCATCATGCCGCTTTATATCATCGATCACCAGAACCGCTGGGCTTGGAAAAGACGTTCGGAAAAAGGCGCGTGGACCAAAAACGCCGGAATCCGATGAGTGGTGTGCCTTCGTCACTGGCTTCTCTCGCGCATCGATTCTGCAATGAAAAAAAAAATTCATTTTAGAAATTGTTAAACTTATAAGAATATAAAATATTCCATAATTATAGAGTAGATGATAGGCGTTATCCCATTATCTCTTACTGATTAACCGTTATCAAGAAATAATTTTAGAAACCATTATCAAATTTAGAGAATAACGATTAATAGACTAAATTGTTATTTTTATCAAGCCATATTTTTATAAGAGCAGTAATGCTTAAAATTCTAATACTATTACGAGACTATTTGGAAAAATTTCCAATCAGAATCGTTCCATTATTCTTTACATTTCCATTAAAAAAAAAAAGAGAATTCGAATCGAACCTTTTCAAATAATTTTATTATAATATCTTTCCAGCTCGAATATTCTGGTAAGTTCACGATTTAATAAACTAGTTAGCTATGTTACAAACTAATAGCTTACAAACTAATAGCTATGTTCATCAGAAATCAGATTAGTAAACATTTAGTAATTATAATTGTTTGTGGAAATATAGTTTTAGATTTTCGGTATATTTAAATTAATATATATCAGAAGTCTTAATAATCATTAAGACTGATGATCAAGTTACTCTTTTCTAACAATGATAATAGCTTAATCAAATAATTGTTTAAATAATTTTTAAGTAACAATTATTGCTATAACCGTTTAGTAAAAATAATCACATTACATATAATATAAATGATATCTTTCTCTTGACAAATTCTCTCTCTTACATTGATAATAAGGCTTTGTTATTTAATTTAGTCAATTTACAACTTAAATATTAATATATTATCTTTTTTTATGCTAGATCGATCTCGTACAATTTTCAAATTCTTTTTAATTATTTTGCATTTTGCATTCTATTCTTTAAGTTCAATACCATTGTATACTCGAGGTTCTTTTTCTTCCGCACAATTGTAAGACAATTACCAGAAGTTTCAAGAATTCACGGCACGATCGGTGGTATTCCAATATGTACATAGAAAACGATCGTACAATTTCCGGCCAATGAAATTCCAACCTCACGCAAGGAGATTCTGCTGAACGACGGCAGACAATGGGGATCGCGGGGTTGAAAGGAACGACGGGGAAAAAAAAATTTGCATTGCGATTCATTGACCGCCCCAACGAACCATGATAGCATGTATCTGAGTATTACCCGCTTACGAGCCCAATATAATTATTTCAAATCGATGAAATAATTATCGTGCGCGGTGCAGAGAGAATGGGGCGTGGCGCGTCCAGGTAGCCGGCGATAACGCAATTAAATCGCAGCCGTGTTATCCGATATTTTGAACGGACACCGCTCATTTCATCGATATTGCGTAGATACTAGCCTAGGTAAAGAAAAAGGACCGATATGCGCGATCGAATCGAATCGAATCAAATCGAACCACGCTGGCTGATTACAATGGATAATTGGAAAATATAATCATGCCGCTCGATATAATCTACGGCATTTACGTTATATTATGGTTTAGCGCTCATGTAAATATATGCGGATGTTTTACAAAATTGAGCGATCGTTAAGATGCAACATGAACGATTGAATTAAATTCTGATAGCTGATTCTTTTTCTCTCTTTTTCGCTCTTCTCTCTCTCTCTCTCTCTCTCGGAAACTTCTTAATTTGAAATGAAGACGATAAGAGGATTCACAAAGATAATACAATGTCAGCAACATCGTGCGCGAAATAAATTTGCAAAATAATGAAAATCAAAGAAAGCACTGAAAATAAGAAATGAAATTGAGGTGGAATAAAGAGAAATGTTCACAGTTGATTTTTGCCGTTCCGTATTTCGCAGTAATTCTGAAATGAGATTTTACGAGTGCGCGTTCAGCGATTCCCGTTTGACATTAACTGCAATTATATGCACGTGTAATATAGTAACTATATATTAATGGGAACGTAAAATTTCCCGGTGGCGCAATATCGGATCTCGTTTGACGTAAATGTAATGTCAAAAGCTTCCTACCGGTGAAATTACGTATTTTATTAACGAAAGTGACGATATATACGTTACGAAATTCACGATCAGTACGGAAGGAAAGTTATTATTATTAATTTTACACACACCCACGCACACATACAGATGTACGCAATTTAGCAGAGGATCCTATCCATATCATCATAAAACTACTTTCGTCGCAACGAGTAACACATTATGTCGTCGTAATTATTAATAAAAGGACATTTCCTCTCATGACAAAGATCAGATTTAACGTACCATAATTATGTCTCGCAAAATACCGCGACATTAATTACCACGTCATGTCTCCTGATATTTGCGACATAGAATAATTCGCAAGATTCTAATGTGATAATACATGGAACGAATGCAATTATATTGTGTTTAAATTTAGAAAAGAACAAAATCGCATTTTGTCCGCAATAATGTACCGTACTTTCTTCTCGCCTTGAATGCGTTCGCAAGGCTTATGCGTGTGATGTTGCCCATACAAGAGTTTTTATTCCCTTTCCTTAGATTTCGCATAGATGAAGGACGCGGAGGAGATGCGATGCAATGGATGTGGTTGAGAAATGGCGAGAATAGAAGAAAGCGACGGAGACGAAGGGCGGGAAGATACGCGGCCAAGAGATGCAATAAGGAAATGCGTATCTTTCGTCTTCCCTTTATGCGCCGGCAGGACCGTTCCTTTATCCTTCGGCAGGCGTTCTCGAGGAGCACTCCGGCAAAGACCCTCGATTCACGTCGACGTGGGCGCCAAGTAATACGGAATCGATGTCTGTTTTATGAAACGTTTTATCTTGCCGCGCAGCCAGCTTTCCAATATTTCGCTCGACTCTCGCCTGCCTCGTTTACGATCTTTTCCTTCGAACTATCATTCTCCATCTTCACCTCTCTCATTTTCTCTCGCTTCGTCATGTTAGGCTGTTCTTTCTCATGCAACTGCGTTTCGCTTCGATTATCTCTTTTCCGAGAATGATACATACTTTTTAAGCCAGTAGTAGGGAACCAGAGGTGCACGTCCCTTAAGATGTGCAAGCCATTGGAGTAAAAAAAAAATTAGATCGTAGATGTATCTCAATATTAATAATTTTTGATGTTTCGATAAGACAAAAAGACAAATATTTTTAGTGAAGGCGACAACATTTTAATAATCTGAAAAAAGTCAGAATAGAAAGACTCACTGTCTTAAAGACTTCTCGTGCTACTTCTTAGTCAATAGACAGTTTTAAATTATTATGTATGTATAAAACGATATGTATATAAAATAATATAAAAGCATTAGCAACAATATTCGCTAAAGTTATTATGCATAATCATTGCTTATGTGTTATTAAAAATTTATAATATAATTTATTAAATAATTTATTAAATTATCTTTTCATTGATGAGAGATCTTCTAATTGATTTTGTCAAACATTAACTTTAATTTTGTATATTGACATCGTGCTTGGCTCATTGCCTTGTGTTGTAATCTATTCACATAAATTTAAAATGCTGCTATTGATAAGTTTAATATTTCTATATAAATAATACGCATATAAAAATGTATGTGTATGTGTCGTCTATTTGACAAATATTCTTGACAAATATAAATTTCTCTCAAATTGTATGTGTGAGCAATTTAGTTAACTTAACCAGAATAAATTTCAGTATTTACTTTGTATTTAGAACTTTTTGAAATTTCTGTCTAATATGCAAATATAGAAAATCAAATTAAGAAAAAATATCTATGGGATAAGGTTTTGCGTATTATACTTGTAATGTAAAATTTCATACATTTAGAATTAAATATTTTCAAAGTAGTATGATAAAAATTTTTTCAAGATATTATTGTCATAATCAATTTTTATATGTGTATTATGTGATTTGTCTTATATTTCATCAAACGCGAGAATCTCTTTAAAAATAAACAAATAAAATATACAGACGCGCAATAAATGTGCATTGAAAAAAATTTTGGTCCAATAAATAATCGTTAATCAATGTCCGACTTAACATCCGACTTAATGTAATTAATTTATTGATACAATTGAATTCATTTATATAACTACATATTCATTCTCTTGCACACACACAATAAATTCTAGCAACAGTTTTATAAAAATCATTATGAGAATTCATTGGACCAATTTTCATTAATTCAATGAATATTTTATTGTATTTGATTCAGTGTTGAGAGCTTGCGACGATCGCTTTTCTTTTTTCAGACATTAATAGATTTTATTCGGGACGCAGTATATACAAATTGAAAAAAAGGAAAGGAGAACCGTGTTTAAGAAATCTGCCTTTCTGCGGTTGTGCATAACTGAAAACGCCGGCCATTTCATATTTAAATGGAATAATTTCGGAGTACAGTTAAATTCATTTCCAATATTCCGCCCTAATCCACGGTTTCGTGCACCTTTCTTCCTTCCTCGCGCATCTCCTACGCGACTCTTCGCCAACGATACACCCTCGTAAAAATGATAAATGTCCGACGAGCAAAGAGTAAATAGCGATGGAATGAATGTACAGCTCGCTGCTTTTGCATAACGTACAAGAAAATTATACGTCTCTAAATATTTATTGGTGCATTAATTTTGTGACGTGTCTTTAACCTGGATTACCACCCCCTCTCCTCCTCCTCCGCTCCTCGCGATAAGTAGGAGAAAGATGGGGAAGGTGCAGTAGAATAATTCTCGTTGTGTCTCGTTTGTTTACCGTGGCACGCCTATGGGATAAAGTCGCCGGGATGACCCTCTTTTACAATTTTCTAGATTACATGAATTTCGAGAGCGGCTGAGTGCTTTTTAATATTTCGCTCTACTTTTTCCCATACATGCTCTCATATGTGTGTGTGTGTACATATACGATCTCTTCCCACCTACCTTTCTTCTTTCTTTACACACACGTTTCCTTCCCTCATCCCCTGCTTCACCTTTCTTCCACGGTTTTTTCTCACGGTCCTTTATAGCAAAAATAACACGCACGGCCTTGGGGCAAAGGGTAAATAGCAAGAGAATAAATGCATGGCACCCGTTTTACGGGTACGCGCAATA